GAAAACAATGCACAGCTGACTCATATTTCCAATTAAGAGGTGTCAAAGTACCCACATATAAGTGACATTTGTCTTAGAAACAGGGAACTGCCGACTGGCTAATCTTTCTTGTTAACATTATAATTTGAATCTAATTTGGACTGGGTGTGGGGGTTTTTTCTCTCCCCAATGTGAACTGATCTAAATGCATATTAGAACGGAAATACCTTCACTTTGCAAACCAATATTTCAACTGTATGAGACAGAACTGTGCACATTTTTCACAGTCTAAATGCAATGTATACACAAACTGTTTCACAACCGCTAACGGATAACAGGCTCTCATGCATAAATAAATTTCATCAAATGAAAGGGAAACATCTATTTCCAAATGAAAAAGAAATTGCTATTAAGAACCACAATGCATTACACTGCTAAGTTTTTTTCTTTTGCCTCATGCATCAAAATTATAGCACTGAAATTATAGCAGTTGCTAATTATAATACTACACCGTTAACACAGAACAATTAATTGTTCAGACCAAGTAGCACAAATGTAGAAAATAAATCATACTTTTTTTTCTTCTTCAACAGAGCAAATTAACACAGATTGTTTCTTCAGCAAAATATGAAAAACTGTAAACTTTGGGCTCATTCTGCAACTTTTCCCAATCCAGAATAAATAAAAATCCAAAGGGAAGAAAGACGGACATACAACTTTAAGCGCACCTTTTTTTTCCTGTCTATTACAAAAGCACAACCTAAAACGTATAAAGCTTTTTTTTTATTTCTTTTAAATCACAGTTACCAAAATGAAACAAGTGAATAATTTATTACATACGCTATAATAACATTACTCTAAACACTATCATCTATGAGGTATATCTGAGAAAATTCGGTAAGGAATTGAGCGGTCTGCGTTGCCAACATGCCCATGGTTATATTTTAAAGCTTTGGAACCATGAAGAAAGAGAGAGGAGAGGAAGAGAAGGAGGGGAAAGGAGGAGGAGAAGAAGAAGAAGAAGAAGAAGAAGAAAAGGAAAGGACCTTTGGTATTATTATTACAAGTCATGTTCTTTGCAGGGTTGCATTGCAAAGCACCACAGTACAATAAGCCCACCAGTTACAATATGGCGGCCCAGTTGACGCTGAGGTATTCACAGGAAGAATTAAAAAAAAAGCACAGAGAGGTCTAGACTGGCAAAATCGTTGCTTTGGTTCAAGCAAGGCACTCATCCTGTGGTAAGTTCACACTTTGCACGTGAAGCATGAGTCTGATAGGTAATGTGGTTTGCCATCAAAGGACCCTGCCAATTTTGCATCATTTTCTGTGTCCAGGCTCTGGGACTTCCTTCGACGTTCCCTTGCAGGGCGAGAGGTCGACGGAGGGCCCGGCCGGGAAGGGCTCAACACAAAGGATCAATCATTGTCTTCCACACATGGAAGGCATCCTGAGAATTATTATAGCTCTATGTTGAAGGCATATCGCCATACGCAATGTAGAAAACTTTACACAATAGGAGTCAAGAAACTGGTGGCGGTGGGAGGGGGGGTGAAGTACGTCATATGGAGGGGATGGGAGGAAGGAGGGGAAAGGAAGGATGCGAAGGCAAAAAGGAATCTGTGACAGGATTGGGGTTTTGTTGTGTTGAACTGACGAAGGGCACAGTTTGCACGTCAAAAAATCTATGCCAATCTGCTAAAGCCTTGTTGGAAAAAAGCAAAGTGGAGGATGGAAGAGGAACCATAGTTATTATTATTAATTACATTTGTATACAATATTGTCTCATTTTACTTTTTGTATATTTTAATCTGCTGTAAGATGCCTTGGATCTTTCTTAGAAATAGGCATTAATTTTAATAATAATGATAATAATAATAATAATAATAATAATAATAATAATAAAAAACCTAGGTCTCATCTGCGCTATACATTAATATACTATTATAAACAGCCATGGCTTACCCCACCCCACCCCTTTTTGCCTCACAGGGCTATTGTTTCCAGGGTGGGGTTGATTGTTAAACAAAATCTGGGAATAGGTAAAATGAGCTTTGCAAATTTTTAAGCTGGGAAATGGCAGAATAGAGTTCTAAGAAGCAGGGTTCCCCCCCCCCCCGGGACAGTGAGTTCCTGCTTCAGATGTTCTTTTTGGGGAGGCCAAATTGGTGATGGCTGGGAAAGGGCCTTCTCCTGCGTCCTTTTTATGGAATTCCGAGCCCAGGGAAAACCTGGAAGCAAGTTCTCCTCAGAGTTTGTGAGGAACTTCTAAAAGCAAATTTCACAAGGTCTTTTGAATATTTTGGAGCACAGGAAGTAGCTTTATACTGAGTCAGGCCATTGCTCCATGTACCTTGGAAGTGTTTACATCGACTGGCAGCACTGCTGCTCTTGAGGTTTTCAGGAGGCAGGGAAATCCCCAAGGAGATGCCTTGGATTGAACCTTGAGCCTTCTGCATGCAAAGCAGATGTTCTACCACTGAGTAAAATATACTGATTTAATCTGCCTGTGGTTTGCTTTTTTCAAAAATAAAATAAAATAATAATAATCAAAAGATGTATATTTGTGATTTTTTGTTTACTCTCTCTTCTTATCCCTTTAAACTGGATTTCTAGCAGAGGACCATTCTGAAATAAATGACTATGTATTGTAAACTAAGACACACAGACAACCTGTGTATGCCAGAATCAAATGGTGTCAACAAATCTAGGGTGAAGTCCCTCAGATATTTCCAACAAGTATTTAGCAGCTAGCAGAAGGAGAAACAACAACGGCTGAGGTAATTTCCTAGGAACAACAAGAATAGCAATAAAATATGACTCATGTTCAACACATTTGCCTTCTTTACTTTGTAGATCCCACAGCTTGATCTCAAACACATCTACCCTGATCCTTGTGCAGAAGCTTGCATGAGAATCAAGCTCTTCAGTGAATTGGGCCGTTCCTTGCATTCAAAGAGATGCCTTGTTGAGCTTCTGCTGAAGGTGAAACATGGAGCTGCTGCTGAAGGTGAACCCTGGAAGCTTGTGTATGCAGAGAAGCCCACATGGCTGGAGCTCCACCTCCAAATAGCCACAAGCCGGAAGAACACTGGGCAAACTGAAGGTAATAAAATGCATAGGTTGATGGTTCAGCCACAGTTGCTCAGAAGTAAGCACCACTGGTGTTAGTTGGATTTACTTCCAAGGCAGGGTATACTTTAGGGCACCCTTCACCAACCTGCCCACCCTCCCAATGTTTTGGACTACAATTCCCATCATTCCCGGCCATCTGGGGATGATGGGAATCGTAGTCCAAAACATTGGGAGGATGTTGGGTTAGGCAAAGCCTGCTTTAAGGGTATGATTTGGTACGTTTAGCACATTCATCTCTTTGACCCGGATCCTAAACACACCTGCTTGGAGATTGCATTGTTCTCAGTGGAACTTACATCCAAGGATGGGAATCTATAATCACAGTCTTACACAGAGTCTGAATGCTCCCCTCAAGTGAGTCCCCTTAAAACTGGTGCACTTGCTGCATGTCTGTGAACAAACCAAGCTAAATTATGCTGTGTCAGACCATTGGTCTGGTCCAGCTAGCTAGTAGTGGGCAACATTTTTGGTCTTCAAGAGCTGCATTCTCTCTTGCTACCAGCTGTTACCCATCAATTGTAATCCACAGTAATAGTTGTAGTGTATCTCATGCTTCCTTCAGCAGCGATACATTATTTATTTTTAACAGGCGATGGCAGTGGTTGAACCTGGGTGCATAGCCTGAGTCCTAGCACCAAGCGACTGTCTCTCCCCATCGGTCCCAGGCCATAGTCCCAATCAAGTCATGGGCAACTAGATCCAGTAAACAACTAGATTCCAGAAAGGGACTCACATTCCCATTCAGTTGGCTAAGGCCACTCCAGCATTCCACCCAACATTTCTCTGATGAAAACAGGGAAGTCCTATTCCACAATAATAATTTTACTATTTATGCCCTCGCTCATCTGACTGTGTTGCTCCAGCCACTCTGGGCAGCTTCCAACATATATAAAAACATAATAAAACTTTTTTTTAAAAAAAACCCTTCCCTATACAGGGCTACTTTCAGATGTCTTCTACAGATTGTGTAGTTGCTTATCTCCTTGGCTTGGAGGTCACGTAACTCCATACCTCCCAACATTTATCTGATGAAAATGGGGTGTCCTAAGGAAAATGCGGGACATTCAGAAACTGGGACGGCTTCTGTAAATCAGGGACTGTCCCTGGAAAACAGGGGTACTTGGAGAGTCCGCTCCAGAGAGCGCGATGCTAGATTTTGTACATCTTTCTGATTCATTCCAGAAAGGGATGCACGCTGCCATCCTTCAGTGTAGCATCATGATGCAAAAATTGCTGGGCAATTCCATCAGCTACAACACCCCTCTCTTTTCTGCATTTGGACCATTCCTGCTGTAAGAAGGCAACTGTGCCTGAGATCAAGCCGTGGGTCTCATTTTTTTCGGAGGCGGTGGGTAGGGACTGGGGCAGGGGGAAGAGGGGGCGGCAGAAGGATAAAACACAGAAAATGACTTTGTCAGAATTAGCAGTTCCCTCTGATAGCGGCATTTGTCGGGACAGAGGACAGGGCATCTGAGTTGCAGCTGTACATACTGGATGTAAAGGAGGAAAAGTTAAAACTATAAAGAGCACAAGCAAAATGCAGACCGCACAGAGAAAGAAATCTTTGGTATCTTTGGTATCATCAACACGATTAAAATTACAAATGGAAAAAGTCAGTGAGGTAGCCTCTTTGGTTCTCACTAGAAATAGAAAGTTTTTTTTTTCCTTTTTCAGGTTTTTTTTTAATCCTTTTAATTTTTATTTTTTTTACACACACACAAAGTTCATTCTTGGAAGCAGCTACTTTAAGGGTTTCTCTCTTTTTAGGTATTTTTTATTTGTTTATTATTATTATTATTTTTTGCTTGTTGTTATTTTATATTTTTTCCCCCAGCTTAAGTTTTTAAAAAGCCACAAAGTTCAGGCAAAGTGTTGCAGTGTCTTGGTTTTTTTTTTTCTTTAAAAAATCCCCTGTTGTTCCTGAATGCATGGTTTAGACAAAATATTCCTTGCTTGTCCAAAAAGAGAAAAGGAAAAAGAAAAAATCATCACTCTGTTGTTCTGACAGCAAATAAGTTGTAGTGCTTTAAGTTGATTTCATAAAAAAAATAAAAATATAAACTATACAAGGGCACCTGCAGTAGATGCTGAATAAGTTAAATAAATAAGTTATATTATGAAGGCTCTTATGTGCCATAATAATAATAATTAAAAAGGTATCCCTCACGGGTTTTTTTGGTTTCATTATTTTGAGTGAGGTGAGGAGGAATTAAATTAAATAACTTAAGGGTCAATCATTTTATAAAACCATTGAGATTGATTATAAGAAATAAAGCATGCTCCAGTTTAGGGAGAGGGGTTGGGGACAATTTAATATTTTTGGTACCTTGTCTCCCCCCCCCCCATGTCTGTAACAGAACTTTACTAATACTCCCTCCCTCCCTCCCCATTAAATTTATGTGCTAACCTCAGATTTGCATCTAGGATGCACTACAATTCTAGGATTGATAAATAAGAGCGGGGGGGGGGGGAGCAAATTAAGTCTAACAAAAAGGCCCAGCCCAGCAGAAAAGGCTCTTGCATACGACCCATTGAAATCTGCGGCAGTAGCATGCATCCATGCTCCTGCACAACTTTGGTTCATTTCAGTGGGACATGTTTGGGAGCACATCCAAGTGGGCTGCGACCAAAATAACCAGCAACGTCATCAAAATAATCACAAAGGGTAATCAACAGAAGCGAGACCCTACCGTTTTAGCTCCAGCTAAAGTTGCATCCGAAAATCCAAGATGGCGCCCTGGCTCCATTGGAACCAACAGAAGCTTTGGTCGGAATGAAAATTTAAGTGGAGCTAAGGCTTTCGGCTTAGGCCTTGATCTCATCAAAGTAAATCTTACGACCGATAACCACCAATATAGCCCCAACATTATCAGGAAAGAAATAAAGGCTTTGAAGATGACTGGCGTAACTTTTAAACAATAGCAAAAATAAGAATTCCCATAATAAATATAGAGTAGGCCAAGCATAATCTATATAAAAAAAATCACAAAATACTTAAATATGGTGACAAGCAAGAAAAACATCAGAATTTTTGTTCCCCCATAGCTATGTCATTGCCACTTCTCCTCTTTTTTTTGGGTAAAAAAAAAGGAGGTTGCTATTCCCGTAAGTCGGTCTGAGCTTTACGTTTTGCTGGTTTTTGTCCTCCGTAGGTCTTTGGATTTAGCTTTAGTTAAGAGAGATCCAGTATAAAGCTATTCAACCGAAGTAATCAAGCACATTCTTTGTTCCTCCACAGATGATTAAACAATATCCAAGGTTTCTTGAAAGTTGAATTCATCTTGGATGTGCCCATGAAAAAAAAACTCCAAGTATAAAAGGTAAGGAAGATGTTGGGATACTATATCGCTACTATTTGGTGGAGCAGAACACACAAAATGAGCAGTACTCAATGCATTTATACAGAAGTTTAAGCCAAGACATTAAAAAAATTAAAAATCTTAACAATGGCTGCCATGTCTCCAAGATGCCCTTGTCATTTGGTGAATGGCAGGTGGCAAAGTTACATAAATGTTTACCAACAGTGCAACTGCAACAAAGGAAATATGGCTGGGACAAGTCAAAATAAGACCACAAGAGGTTAGGAACATAAGCGGCTGTTCGTAATGGGAACAGAGACACTGGATAACTTCAGAGAAGGAAGAATGTGTGTTATACGTTGAGTAGAAATCACCGGCTAAACTGTTGGCAGCTGTTGGTGGAGCTACAAATGGCATGTCAAACATTAACCACTTTCTTTCGTATTCATATAATTAAAACAGAATATGCGTCTCATGCCTGAGTAGATATACCAGATGACAGGATTTGATAGTCTGAGATTATCCCTTTTCACCAATGTGACCATTATGCCAGAAATGCTGTCAGAGTTCTTTTTAGAGTAAGACCGCAGGTAAGTCTGAATGTGTGTGTCTATATATGTATATATCCATGTGCAATGGGTACACACACACACACACACACACGGGAACACATCATTGTGGATAAGGTATAGTTTATCAACACTTGGGCACTCCAATCCTAGCAAAGCACAACCTTAGCAACCTTAATTGTGTGCAATGAATCTGCTCTCCACATGACTCTTTCTCCTTATCCCTAGGGATTCCTGCTCTGGAGCTTTGCCTTCCAGGGCTTGCCGTGTGTGTGTGTGTGTGTGTGTGTGTGTGTGTGTACATATGTGCACACACACATAATGCCAGTGCTGACCTCAGGAATGCAGTTCAATGCTGATAAATACTTTTGATGTTTCAGACTATGTGGGAAAACCCAATGAGATACATGCATGCTCCACTATTCTGAGTTTTAATCTCTCTCTCTCTCTCTCTCTCTCTCTCTCTCTCTCTCTCTCTCTCTCAAACCTGGAGTAAATGGAAGACCTAATGTGTGATGATAAGCAAAAGTCACATCTCTGACTTCCCCCAGGTAGCAGGGGGCTAAGGATCTCTAAAGGAAGTTTCTCTGTACTTTCCCAAACTACCCTTCATGGGATTTTTAGGGGAAGCCCACTATAAATTTGTAATGTAGGTATGCCTTACTGCAGGGATGGGGAGCCTCAGTTTTGCTGGATGAGGGTGGTGGGTTTCTCACAATAGCTGCAGGGCCACAGGTTTCCCATTCCTGACATTGCTTTGCCAGTGCAATCCTATACACATCTATACACTCCAAAGTAAGTCTCACTGAGTTAAATGGCACTTTCTCCCAAGTAGGCGAATGTAGGATTGCAGCCTAAACCTTTTGCCATGTAAAATATTTTCACGCGGATTTTGCTTGGGTAGAAAGGGAGGTCCTAGTTAAGAAGAACATAGTCAGTCAAAATGCAGAGCTCTTGCATCAAGTGTATCGTTTGTACTGAGCTGTTGCTCAGTGCAATACCAGCAATTATCCTGAGCCCTGGTGCCTCTAAGTGCTTGGATAAAACTGAATTGCACTCCCCTTAACATGCAAAATCTGTGTCTTCCACATTTCTTGTTTTTAACGTAGATTTCCTGTTGTTGTTGACTGTGACTTCTTTGCCTGCATATAACAGAAATGGAGTATGGAGTCTTTCATGACTTGTGACTCGCATAGATTACAAGCCTCTTTGGACAGCAATCTTAGCACTGAGATGTTTATAATGTTGTCTAGCCTTTCCAATAGATAACTGAGTGCTTTCTGCCCATTGCTTGTCTGTATGGTATGGCTGCAATTGGATTTTGTCCGCATCTTTGACAGAGTATGGCGGGATTTGTTCTAATACTGTCTCAGTGGGTGGTTCTAGCTCAGAGTTTTCCAAACTTGGGTCTCCAGATGTTTTGGGACTACATTTCCCATCATCCCTGACCTGCTAGCTAGGGATGATGGGAGTTGTAGTCCAAAAACAGCTGGAGAGCCAAGCCTGGGAAACCCTGTTCTGGCTCAAGGAATAGGGGAGCACTTAGTTATCCCTGCCTTACCAGAGTTATGTGTGTGTACTGTCATGCCAGTGCGTGGGGGGGGGGAGCAGGTAAATGTGGAGGGAATTCCCCCCCACTTTGCTTGATTGTTTATAACACCAATGCAAAATACTCTTTGGACAAAGGCGGACTTCTGCAATTTAGGAAATCCCTCCTGTTGCAGCCGTTTACACTGATGCAAAGACTCTGCAAGTGACTGAGCGTAACGTGGCCTTTTCCCTGTAGCATCTATGCAGTCATAACCAAACTCAGCCCTCCAGATGTTTTGGGACTACAACTCCCATCATCCGTAGCTAACAAGAGCAGTGGTCAGGGATGATGGGAACTGTAGTCCCAAAACATCTGGAGGGCCGAGTTTGGGGGTGCCTGATCTATGGTCTCAATTGACAGGACTGGAGCGCTGGCCATGCTCCCTAAAAAAATGATCCAGAAACATCTTCTGCAGTCCAGAGTGTGTCTGATGGTGTGAGCACCTGGATATTAAAAAAAATAGTTCCCCACATTCACCAACAACTGGAAAAAAGGCAATATAAATGGATTCTAGATCAGTGGCATTCAATCTGTGTCACTCTAGGGTTCCTGGGCTTCCTGGATACCTAAGAGCAGCCAGCATGGCAGACAAGCATTCCGAGAAAGACAGCTTGCTTATCGCTGCTAATGTTTCCCTGCAATGTACACACAGCCACAGGGGAAGGGGCGGCTGTAATATAGGGCACACTCTCAGTTCATGTAGGGCAAGAGTGAGGCCTGACAGTCTTGGCCAGTGCTTGAACTGACTGTGCTGCCTAGGAAGTCCCCCAGAATCACCCGTCCCTCCCTGGCAAGCAAAGGAAAAACAGAGAGCAGTATTTGAAGAGGTTGGAAATGACCTTTTGCTCTTCAGCCGAAGTACCATGTTCATCCCAATTAGACATCTGAGACATATGAGCAAATCAAATGCAAGAATGAAACAACAGCATTGCATAAGTGAACATTCTTGAATAGAACATGGCCCAAGATGCAAAGTGTGTATCTTATTTTGGAGGGATGGGCCACATCTGCCGATACCTGCATCTGACCATACCCGGACTTTCACATGGACCTCGTGATCCTTTTCATTTGCACAAGAGGCTTTGCAAAACTCACTCAGTGTTGATGTTCTGTGACCATTGAGAAGCCACCGTGGCAATGGTTAGACCTCAAGCCAGGCTTTCAAGTTTCTGCCATGGAAATTCTTAAAACAATTGGAAGGGGAAATTTAGGTTTTTGGCTCCAAGACTTTTAGGGCCAACACTCCCTTCTGATAAAAGCAAAATCCACCTCTCACACCAAAGCACTTTGGAATGAATTTTGGATGCTTTTCCTTTATATCTTCAGGTTAGGGTTTGAAAAGACGTTTCATCTTGAACTCTTTCTCATGGAAGAATCCAAGTTTGTTCTACTGGTGCAACAGTTCCAAATTCTTTCTTACAATGAAGTTAATCATAATTACCCTGTTATTGTTATAGTGATGGATCTGAGCTGAGAGCTTAGTCCAGAATTGTTAAAGGGGGGGGGGGGAGTTTTGCTACCAAAGTCTAGCGATACTAGCAACAATTTTAATGGGTGTGGATGATACCTGCAAGTCAACATCTCCAGCTCCTCATCCAGCTTAAGTTATTGATTTCCAAACAGAAAATCAACACCCCACAGAGGAGCTGGAGGTGCCTTAAGAGTGGTTCCCCTTTGAAGCGGGGTGACTGGAGGTGGATTTTGCATATAGCGGTTATGAAAATTTCATTACTAGCTCGAATTAACAGAACGCAGGCTCTCAATGGAGACAGAATACCATTGGTGGGTCCGCAATATTTTAAAAGTCACCAAGAACAGTGTTTCTCAACCAGGGTGGTGGTGTGTTATTACTTAAAATGCTTTCAATATTCTGGGTTCTCCAAAGGAAGGATTATCACTCCACTCACATTGATGACTGAAAAGGGTAGAGTCATGTCCTGAGTTCAGAGAGGGAGTTCTCCCAGGAAGAGTGAATGTATATGAATCTGAGGGAAGAAGCTGTATACCATGGATGAATCAGAGCTGTATACTGTGTGAGCAGGAGCTAGGCATAGGATTGTTTGGGCCTGCTTGGTGGTGTGGGGACCAAAGAGCTACAAGGTCAAGAAGGTCTATGATTTTCTGATTTGAGAAACACTGGTCTGGTGGGAGAATCTGGACCTGAGTGGTCAAGACTTAATGGCCATGTGCAGGACACGGGGTAGTGAAGTTAAACAAAGAACTAACTATTCACTGTCTGGATTATATGTGTCAGGCTCCTTTCCAACAGTTTGAGATTCCTCAAGTATGAAACAAGAACACATACCATTCATTTGCATTCACAAAAGTTGTCCTCTGACCCCTGTCTCCTAGGTTATCATTTAAAAATCACATAACATATGCAACCCCACTGAGCCAAAATTATCATTTAAAGAGTAAGATGCTTCTCCACTCCACACACGCACAACATCGGGTTGGAGAAGATTCATTAGCTTAGTATCCCAACATCTTATACTTGGAGCCCATGGAATCCTTTGGAAGATTCCACGTGAGAGCAGAAATTGGAAAAAGAAAAGAAAAGAACTTTTCAATATTAAAAAGAAAAATATCATCCTTTTTGTGTGTTTGTTTTTTGTTGCTCAAAAGAAACAGAATCAATTTACCTTTGCACAGATCAATCGTGCTATACGCATATTAGCTGTGCAAGGGGGGGAGAATGAACTGAACTAAAAGTCGTGAGAAATCCTCATCTTTGGTATTGTAGCTGTTGAGGTCTCGGTTGCTCTGTTCCTTGTTCTTTTGAAAAAACTGCATAGGCACAAATTAAAGACAATCTTCAACTTTAAGATTACTGAGTTGTCAAAATGAAGCAGCAATCCCCATTGGCTTTTCCATTCGTTTCCTTTCTTGTCAACCCTTTCTTTGAACTCTGCTTCCTAAAAATGTCCCAAGATGTCTGTCAAAACACAGTGTGTTAGCATTGGTTTGTTTCCTGACGTGCTTCCTTGGTTTGGTTTTTTTATTTTTTTATTTAAATTATTATTCATTTCTTTATTTTTTCCCCCCTAAATGGAACAGTTTGTTGCAGAAGAAGTAGGTGCAGAAAAAGTTTCTTTGGTTTCGATTAAGTAGTACATAAAAGAGTCTCAAGTGTCTTTAAAGGATCGTTACAGCATTTGGCTTGCTTTTGAACACTCAAGTGGTGTTCCAAGGAATGGGGGGCTATTCACTGGTGAATATGCACATTGAGTGACCATAGCAATTCTGATGAGAAAGATGACGTGTGTTGTGTGTGGGTGTCCTTAGGTGAACACTGTACCCTAGTGAGATTAAAAGTTATCTTTGATGCTTCACTTGAGAACACTGTCTCTTTCAGCTCACTGGACAAGTGAACTGGAATAGAGCCGTACACTGACTGGTGTTTACTTCTAACATATTCAAAACCTGACTACACTGATGACAAGGACAATGGTGATGACAATGAGGTTGGAAAATGGCAAGTTATAATGGTCTTTGGCTTGCAATATCCTGCATCTTTGGTGTGTTGCATTCTTACATGAAGTGGTGGGTGGGATGCTTTTTATCCATGGAAGAGACTTGGAGTAAGTGCTCCAGTGGTCAGTGACGTTATGAAGACATTGGCTTTATTTTCCTGCCTGGAAACACCAACTAACTCAAACACAGAATGGATGTGGCCAAAAATAATAATAATTAAATAAATAAGTGAAGGGATGAAATTGGATGTCTCATAACTGTTTAGGACATATTCACGATTAGTGGTTTGCTTTTTTTAATATAAAATAAAGTCTAGAGCGTTTCAAGTGTTGCATTTGCTCTATCTGTGGTAGCATCTTAATCTGGCTTCCTGAGTGTGTGTCTGCACTATGTACAAATAGAAATTGTGAAGACCTGCAAAAGTGTGCTTGAAACCAATGTGTTCGCTAACACCCCCTAACTCCGAGCACGTCTTGTAAGAACAGGCAAAGAGTCCAGAGCTGTTCCTGTTTTCTGGTGTCTTTGTGCTTGATAGTTTGGGTTCAAGGGAACCGAATCGTACTGATCCAAGACCTTATCTCCATTGACATTCCCCCCCCCTTAAGAGAAAGCAAGTCGGATAGTTCTGAAAATGTTTAACGTAACAATGCCTGAGTTTCTAAAATAAACCCCCCGTGTTCTTAGGTCTAGATTAAGTTTGTGCTCAGTACTTGTATGTTTCAATGCTTGTGAGCTTTGGTATAGTAGTGTAGAGAAACTAAGCATGTTGGAAACAAAATAGGTCCGGTGTCTTTGGATTTCCTTTGGTGAACAAATCTTAGCAAAGTTGGTGCTGTCTTGTTGACCGATTCCTTGGCCCTCGAAGCTGATGAATATTTTCAGCTTCCGTTGGCTCTGCCATGATAACCCTGGATTAATTTGGGTCATGCATGACCTACTTATGTTTCAGACATGCTTAGTCTTGCCTTTTAATGTATTTTTGACCTGCACTTTTTTTTAAAAAAAGAAATCCCTAAAAACCATTTAAATAAAATTAAAATGCCCTGTGTTGTAAATCAGTATTACTGTTGTAAGAGGATTGTGCTTTCAAATCACCAGTGAAGGGCCCCAGTAAGAATCCATTCCTTTCCATATATATATTAGTTGAGTTGTGCCCAATTTAGGTTCTGATTTTCGATCATGCTTTGGTACAAGTGGTGGAGGTTGAGGAGGGCCCCCCGGTGCTCAGATCATCCTGCCATTTCTCGAGGCTCCGCCTCCTGGCATTCATGAAGAAGTTACTGACAGTGGTAAGTTCCAAGCCCAGCTGCTGAGAGATGGTGATCTGCATTTCTTTGGACGGACGTTTGTTCTCTTTGAAGATGGCAAAAAGTGTTCTGCGTTGGAGATCAGTGAAAACCAGGCGAGATTTCTTCTGGGAGTTGTTCCGATCTTTGTTTGGTTCTTGTTCTTTGCGTTTGCATGCTTAGGAAAGAGAAACAGAGAGAGGAGAGAGAAAGGGAAAGAGGATCAATGCATGCATAAGTACCAGTCAACTGAGCAGGTGATACATTCAAAACATTGATGAAGCTGTAGAGTAGATGTAAACTGTTCAACTTTTATTGTGCAAATTGCAGAAATGTCAATATCCAACCTGCCCAGACCCGTCTTTTCTGACTGGGAGTGACTAATGCAAGCGAAGTGCATAGTAAAAACCATCTCCGTTAATACAGAGTGTGTAATTAACCAGGTTGGCATTAGCATATCGGCAGACTATCATGGCTCTGCCCCTAGGAATGGAGGAGAAACTGTTCACATTTCAAAGGGAACCTACCCTATCCTGTACTTTCCAAAACAATGCGCAAATAGCCATCCTTTGAAATTTGCACTCCTCTGAATTTTGCAGCAGTGAATTCTCCAGCCAAGTAATGTGTAAAGGTAAAGGGATCCCTGGCCATTAGGTGCAGTCGTGGCCGACTCTGGGGTTGCGGCACTCACCTCGCTTTATTGGCCGAGGGAGCCGGCGTACAGCTTCCGGGTCATGTGGCCAGCATGACTAAGCCGCTTCTGGCGAACCAGAGCAGCGCATGGAATCGCCGTTTACCTTCCCGCCGGAGCGGTACCTATTTATCTACATGCACTTTGATGTGCTTTCGAACTGCTAGGTTGGCAGGAGAAGTAATGTGTTCAAGAAGCATATCAAAATAACAAACAAAAGTGAATTGTTTTAGGGGAAACTGCATTGCACAAATGTGTATATTAGGCAAATTTGAGGAATCACACAATTTCAGTTTCTCATTTTTCCAGCCTCAAGTTCAGTTATCCAGATTTGCACATTAGTTTGTGGTTGGTTGGTTTTTGCTTTTTTTAAAAAAGTCATTGTGAAAATTCAACAGCATTTTAATGTACCTTGGTTTGCAAACAGTCTGGTTCGCATACATTTTGGATTACAAACACGTCAAACCCGGAAGTGCGTGTCGCGGTTTGTAAACCTTTTTTTGGATTACAACCCATTTTTTTTGGATTACGACAAAAAAAATTTGAGAGTGGCAAAAGCGCGCCTTGGGTTACAACCTGTTTTGGTTTACAAACGGACCTCCAGAATGGATTATGGTTTTAAACCAAGGGACCACTGTATCCCCCCCCCCAATGTGCCCATTCTTATCCCATTTCCCCTAATGTAATGCATTTTGCACGTCCTTTTCACCAATATGTGCATTTCTCCACACACTTCTCCCCAGTGCGTGCATTTTGTACACCTTACTTGGCTGGAGAGCTGCATTGCAAAATTGGGAGAAGTGTGAATTTTGAAGGGTGGCTGCATTTCGGTTTTGTGTATCGATTCAGAAAGTGCTAATTTAAAAGGTCCACCTTTACATGTGAGCCAAATCAAAATTCCTCCTTCCGAACAAGCTCCACGTGACAGCCCTTAAGATATTTTCTGGCTATAATCTCTCAGTCTCCTCTTTCCCAGACTAATCGTACCCAACTCCCTCAACCATTCCTCATAAAACTTGGTTTCCAGACCCTTAACCATCTTGGTTGCCTTCCTCTGCACATGTTCCAGTTTGTCAATATCCTATTTAAATTGTGGAGCCTAAAGTTGGACACTGTACTCCAGATTGGGTCTGAACAAGGCAGAATAGAGTGGGACTATTACACCCCTTGATCTGGCCCGTCCTTCCATTGATGCATCCTAAAATAGCATTAGCCTTTAAAATTAAATTTATATACTGCCCTCATTATATATAAATGTAAATGGACCCCTGACCATTAGGTCCAGTCGTGACCGACTCTGGGGTTGTGGTGCTCATCTCGCTTTATTGGCCAAGGGAGCCAGCGTACATGTGGTCATGTGGCCAGCATGACTAAGCCTGGCGAACCAGAGCAGCGCATGGAAACGCCATTTACCTTCCCGCCGGAGCGGTACCTATTTATCTACTTGCACTTTGACGTGCTTTCGAACTGCTAGGTTGGCAGGAGCAGGGACTGAGCAACAGGAGCTCACCCCGTCACAGGGATTCGAACCGCCGACCTTCTGATCGGCAAGTCCTAGGCTCTGTGGTTTAACCCACAGCGCCACCTGCGTCCCTCCCTCATTATATACTGCAACATAAGAACACATAACATATAAAGACATAAAAACACATGCAAACAAAAACAATAACTCAACCTGCCCCCCAAAACATTTAAAAGTGTGTTAAATCCCAATCACTGATTTCTATGGACAGATTCACATCTTCCTCACAATCCTAAATGAAAGCTGGGCATTCACAGATTCATGGAAACGAACACTGAGAAATCTATGTGCAAAACAAACTGAAAAGCAGGTCTTACAATGGATTGTGTTAATCCCTTGGGAAGAATTGCCGCAGACACAATTAAATCATTGTATTTCCAAAAGATATAGCTATTAGTGTTGGCTTACGCTACTGATTCCTTCCTCCGCCCCCAAAATTAAGAGACCTGATTATCTGAACGCTGTAGGATATATTCCCAAATGGAAGCATTTCGCTCTTTTCCTACAAGGTCTCTTCAGGAGACATGCTTCTCTGCCTGATTCCAACAGCTGTGGGTTTGCTGTCCCTCAAATCCAGCCCTGTGTTAGGCTGCAATCCTAATGCCACTTACTCAGGAGTAAGCCCCACTGAATTCAACAGGTAAAAGTAAAAGGTAAAGGATCCCTGGACGGTTAAGCCCAGTCAAAGGCGATTCTGGGATTGCGACGCTCTTCTCGCTTTCAGGCCGAGGGAGCCAGCGTTTGTCCACAGACAGCTTTCCGGGTCATGTGGCCAGCATGATTATACCGCTTCTGGCGCAATGGGACACCGTGATGGAAACCAGAGTGCACAGAAACACTGTTTACCTTCCCACCGCAGTGATACTGTAGTGGTTCTAGGGGTTGCTTGTGCGTAAGCCGGTGCAAACACCTGGCTGGGTTGCCTGAGTGAACCTTTTCTGTCCGGACAGCCACTCACCCGTGGCTGTCTCAATCGCTGGCAGAATCCGTCAGTGGGCGTTTCTTGAACTTCTTCCAGCAAAGAAGCTCTTTGACGCCTAGTCTCCTCCTACTCTCTCTGCGCGAAAGCCTTCTGCGCAAGGAGGGCGCAGGCAGCGGAGGACCTCTACTCTCCCCGCTGGTCCCCGGCAAGGAGTCATGGGACCACTTCGCCACTTCCCCCATCTGCCCCCCTTCTCCACTGGTGCTACGCTGATTCTCTTCCCCAGAAGATGGGCTGCCTCTCCCACTCCCGGGACGCTCTCTGGAATCCCTCTGGATTTTGCTCTCTCCCTCCGGCACTGATGGCAGTTCCCTGACAGGTACCTATTTATCTGCTTGCACTGGCGTGCTTTTGAACTGCTACGTTGGCAGGAGCTGGGACAGAGCAATGGGAGCTTACCCCGTTGCGGGGATTCGAACCGCTGACCTTCCGATCAGCAAGCCCAAGAGGCTCAGCGCCACCCACGTCCCTGTTCAACAGGACTTACTTGTGACTTGCTGTGGTTAGAATTGGCAGCCTCGGGGCTCCTCCAGATGATTTGATTATTGGGCATTCATGCAGATTTGCTTGCAGAAAGCTTGTGCAGAGATTAGACTATGTCTGGTAATTACTGAGCATTTATTCTGATTTGTTTGCAGAGCAGTTACATGACAATGAGAAGTGGCTATCCTGATTTGCTTGCAAGGTGTTCGTACGCCTTCCAGTTCATCCTTCATTCATCATTTTTCTAAGCTAAAAAAAGCATGCTTTTTAAATAGTACTGAATCTGTTGCACTAGAGCACTTTAAAGTGCTTTAATTGCACAAACCTAGTATGCTCTCGAATCCCTCCTACAAAATAGCGATGGTTCGGAGGCAGCCCTAGTCCATAATCTGGTAGGCAAAGTATAGCATATTCTTGAAGCAAGTGAAAACGACTGTGAAATGAATCCAGAACAAATAACTCTTTTAGCATAGTGGGTCAGACAATCTTGACCTAATATTTTATATCTACTCCCATGAACTCTACAGTACTATATTTCCTGCTCTCCTCGGCAGTACTATGCTGAGTAAATGCAACATTAATCTGCTAAGTTAATGCACATGGTTGGAGACAAAGCTGAGCCAACATAATTCTCCTCCCCTCCTTGTTTTGAGCGTGGAAAGGCCTTGCCAAATGCACATTTGCAGAACTGAAGTTCCCTGGATGAAATGTGGAAAGCCCGTGTGGAACATCTACACCAGGCATGGCCAAACTTGGCCCTCCAGCTGTTTTGGGACTACAGTTCCCATCATCCCTGACCACTGGTCCTGTGAGCTAGGGATGATGGGAGTTGTAGTCCCAAAACAGCTGGAGGGCCAAGTTTGGCCATGCCTGATCTACATGTATTTCAAAACAAAACAAAACAAAAGAAGAAGAGAAGAGTTTGGATTTGATACCCCGCCTTTCACTCCCTTTTAAGGAATCTCAAAGCGGCTAACATTCTCCTTTCCCTTCCTCCCCCACAACAAACACTCTGTGAAGTGAGTGGGGCTGAGAGACTTCAAAGAAGTGTGACTGGCCCAAGGTCACCCAGCAGCTGCATGTGGAAGAGCAGGGAATCGAACCTGGTTCCCCAGATTATGAGACTGCTGCTCTTAACCACTACACCACACTGGCTCAAAACAAAACAAAACAAAACAAAACAAAACAACAATGCCCTTTGAGAAACTGTTTAGGTTCAGTTTAGACACTAGCAGAGCAAAGCAAACCTCATTTGCACATGGCTGGGGTTTGTTTGGATTGGGTTAAAGTGTTCCTCTGTTGGGTCTTGGTGTCAGCCTTCTGACATCATTGGGCATGCTGCTGCCTTCTATACACATGCGTGCTTCCGTTCCCACATGATTCATCCATGAAAATGGAAGGAAAGAACTGTCTGCTGGAATCCCACCCCAAATCTGGCTTAACGAGGTTGCAAACATTTCTTTTTCCTTTCTGGAAGCAATCATTGTGAAAATGAGTGCA